CTCTACACAGAGCTATTCCTGTCCATTCATTCTGTGTATCTGAGGCTGCAGATATAGAGATTCATGGCTGTGTCCTCAATCTCTTTTCTCTGTCTGAAAGTTGGAACATCAGAGGTCTGTTTAGACCAAAGCCCCCCAGTGTGGCTCCAAAACAACTGTAAAAATAATTTTAAATAATATATTGTAAAAATGAAAGATGGGAAAAAAAACCCCAATAAAATCTTCAAAAGTAAAAAAAACTACTGACACAAGTGGTGGAACTAACAGGGTCACAAAGGTCGCACTTGTGACTTGGCCCTGGCATTCGGCCACTGGGCACGGAAGGAAGAGCCTTGGCCATGTGTCAGGGGGGCCCTCCATGGTTTCTTGCACTGGGGCCCTTAAGGTTCTAGTTACACCACTACAATAATGTATTACTTGCATAAGCATTACCACTGTATACAGTATATAGGTAATTTGGCCTAAAAGGGGCCAAAGAGAAGTAGATTATATGACTGAGATGTGATCGCTATATTTGCCTTGGTAACTAAAGTAATATTTCAAATAAGGAGTGCAGACAAGGTAACCTCTCAAGATTAATTACTTACCAGTAACAGTGAAAGTCACTTTAAAGATAGCAAACAATCTAGCAGCTGTAATAAAAATATTAGGTACGCTAAACTTTGGAGGCGAACAGTTAGCATTAAATGTTCATAAGGAGTCCGGTGGAAATTCATGGCCTGTGGGATGACCAAAAAGAAACATCCAGTCTTAGATGTTACTAGAGGGGAAAGTTCCAAGGTGAAAGGAAAGTAGGCACATAGGATTCAGAGAAGTGTTTGTGCAACTGGGGATCCATTGTAGTATGGAGGATTAAAGTCATCAGGTGAAAATGGAAAAGAGTATTAGGTATAGTGCACAGACCCCAAACAGGTACTACTATTTGTATCAAGTTCTACTCCCTGTTAAGTGCAAGCAGCCAGACACATGGTAGCATCCCAGTCTCTCTTCACAGGAACCAGGCAGAAAGTGTCTTTTTTTTTTAATGTATTGCTTACTGAACTTGGGCAGGGTGCAGGGTGAGCCTTGGAATACTCCAGAACTAATGTAAAAGGTAATGGACGACACTCTTTAACTGTACTCTTTCTTCAGGTTACAGCCACCCTCTTGAAGTTAGTGACTAGTGGAGTACAGCTCAAGTGACTCCATTGTGAAAGTAAAACCTAGTCAACAACTTGAATTAGCTTTCTGAAAGGTTGGCAAGCACAGACTCTGGAATATTATCAGGCTTGCTTTTCCTGCCAGGAATTGGCTGAAGCTGTATGCATATACATGTGAGGGTTTGCCTCTTCTACCCACTGAATTCCGGAAACTACCAGAATTCAGGGGAACCCAGAACAGCCAAACACAATCAAACTTCATTCCACTGGCTAAAAACAAAATTTGCCTCAAACTGTCAGCAATCATGTTAGGAGGGTGTAACATTGAGTATATGGTAATATTAACAAGAGGGGTAGCTGGCACTGTACCCATCAGACTGAGCAAGGAGGCCTCAGGTGGGATGTTGTGCAAAGCTAGTCCATGATATCTTCATAAGCAGTGAAGAATTGCACTTACCTTTTATCGATAACATGTAGGTGTGCTGGATAGGCCATCAAATAAAAAAAGGCAAAATTTGCAGGCTCTTTCAATTTCTTTTCCCACAATTCTGTTTGGTCCCACAGGCCGCTGGGCTCCTGGACACAGTCAGGAAATATAAAATTCCCTAATTCCCACCCTCATCAGTTCCCAGAGACCACACCTGATAAGACAGAGGTGACTGGACATGAGCTCTTTCGACAGGTGTCTGGTCTTCCACTGTTTTATCGGGTATGCAGCAGTCGGATTGGAGCACAATAGCACTCAGCTGCAGGAAAAGACCCAGCCCATGCTGAAGGCACTGCTTCAACTGTCCCTACTGTGCTGAGCTTCCAAGTGCACCTATGGCTATACCTTCCAGCTGTCCCTCATTTGGAGGGATTGTCCCTCTTTTGAGACCAAAATGTTCTATTTTTTACTACCAAAAGTCTTATACTGTTCAAAATGTTTTATTTAACCTCTATATTGCTGCATTTGCTATTTTGAAATAAACAATATAAATTAAAATAGGGGTAAAAAAAGCATTCGTGTGATGTAAGTGTAGCACTACCCCTTTAAGGGCCACTGGATTTGATTGGGTCCCTTTGGGTTGCTCTGCAAGGCCAGGCAACATTTGTTTTCCACACTTTGCACACAGGAGTCAAAGAACAGTTTTTGAGCTTGGTTTTGTGATTTTATTAAGGAGTTGAGAACTTGGATGGGGTCTAGGGGTATATGGGGGCTGTTCGATGTACTGCAGAGGTTGAGTACAAACTCCCTAGAAACTATGTACAAAAATGTGGCTAGCAACAGTCTCTTTCCTTGAAGAGCTCCAAAGACTCTTCCTAGTGTACCTCCTCACACCCCAGATGATTACTCCTCTTCACCCAGCTTCACTGAGGGTATTTCCTGGGCAAGGGGGGCCCAAATGCTGCCAATTTAGCACAAGCAGTCCCAGATGAGAAGCTAGTTGGGTCTTTCACCTGACTGCCCTCTCCCCTTATCTGGTCCAGGGCGTGTAGGAGTACTCACACTGTTCTTTTCTGTCAGCTTAGTGGGTTGGTGGCATTTTGCTGGGCTGGCTCCTTCCCTGCTGATCAGGATGTCCTCCCCAGGAGACGGTGGAACAGTGAAGGTCCTCTTTTCCTGCAATGGCCTGTAGGTAGGCTCCCTCCCAGGCTCCACACTCCAGCTTTCATCAATCCATCTTCTACCCCACACTGCCCCCCTCCGACAGGCTCTGCCACATTTGAGGGTTGCCCTGGTCACCATACCCAGCCTCCTGCCAGGGGATTGGCTAGGGTTCCTCAAACATGCAGATCCAGGCCTCCTCCCCTCCTCTGTCCCTCCTCCAGAAAGCTCTCAGGTTTCTGGAGAGGTGGGAGGGCTCCAGAAGCCCTGACCTGATAGAGCCTCCCAGCCTGTCCTGAGGCAACTTTTTTTTATTGGTGGTAAGTAATATTCTAATTTTCTGAGATACTGAATTTTGGGTTTTCACTAGCTGGAAGCCATAATCATCAAAATTTAAAGAAAAAAATGTTTTCAATATATCACTCTGTGTGTAATGAATCTATTTAATATATGAGTTTCACTTTGTGAATTAAATTACTGAAATAAATTAACTTTTACTAATTTTACAAAATTTTACTAATTTATTAAGGTGCACCTGTATAAGGTACATACAAAAGACAATCAGTAGCTCGTAATATCAATAGGATTATTTTTGAAAAAAAAAGGCAGAAAGCCGCCAATCTTACACATCTAATGTACTGTATCACAAGGATATACCAAGTATATGATTTTCAAATAATTTTTTCTTTGCTCTCTGTATCCTTATTTTTTTTCTACTAATCGTTTGTAAAAACCTATAATATTATCTCCCAAAAGTGGGAGATACATAAAAGGCACTCTTGGATCACAAAGATAGCACTAATATATAATAGCAGATATTGAATCTATAGAGGCAAATATACAAAGATATCCTCCTAACAGAAAGTAAAATATAATTTCCCACTACCATATATCAATCTGGTGGAAGGAGACAGTACATAAACCATGGGTTCCACTTGAAATCAAAACATGGTTTTGATTCATGAAGCGTATGCAAGATGTGTTCCATTAACAACATAATAGCATCCATTCTGGCTATACCTTGTGAAAATGGTATTGACAGTGACTTCCAATTGTATGCTATTAACCACAGAGTATGTATCAAATTCTCAAAGGGTCAGGTGAGAGAGGGAATTGTGGTAAATAATAGGCATTGGGATTGAGTCAAAGTTATCTGTTCTCCAGCTAATTTAGAGGAAAGCTCTGAAAGCTTAGCCAAAACTGGAGATACCTTCTCACAGCTCCAGAAAATATGCTGAAAGGACCCAACCTGAAAGCAACCATGAAAGCAGTGTGGGGAGGTCTGGGGATACATGCAAGAGAGTTTAAGAGGGGTATAGTACCACCTAGTGAATAAAGATTTTGTATATTTCCTCAGATTTATCCCATTCCTGCTCCAAAAACTGCTCTCCAAGCTCCATCTCCCATTCGATCATATATGGACATTTGTAAGAGATATCATTCGAGGTTAGGCATTGATATAATGAAGAGATCATCTCCTTACCTCTAGGGCAAGTGCGACTTGTCACCTCATGCAAGGTGCATGAAAGCATAATAAGTGATATTAAAATGCCTAATCTGTAAATAATGGTAGAATTCAGTGCGTGGAATAGCTTTCAGTTGTTGGAGCTATGAGAAGGAGATAAATGATGAGTCCTCTTGAAGATCCAGTAAGTTGGTTATAGCATGAGACCGCCACCAGTAAAAGTCACTGGGTCTGGAGAAAGCCCTTCAAACCTCGGGTCTCCTAAAAAGGATTACCATGGAGAAATTTTAGAAGATAAGGTATATTTATCTTTATTAAGATGCCAAAGTTTAAGGGATTGACCCACCAGTAAGTTACGCTTCATTAACCACTTGCCTTCCTGAGAATGTACTCCCTTTCCTGACCAGGACATTTTTTGCGTTATGGCGCTGCGTTACCTTAACTGACAATTGCACGGTCATGCAACGCTGTACCCAAATTAACTTTGAGTCCTTTTTTTGCCACGAATTGAGCTTTCTTTCGGTGGTATTTGGTCGCATGTGCATTTTTTATTTTTGCGTTATAGAAAAAAAGACCGAAAATTTTGACAAAAAAACAATATTTTTGACTTTCGGTTGTTAAAGATGTCCAGTAAAAAAATTTAAAAAATGTAATTTTGTCATAAATTTAAACCAAAATGTGTTCTGCTCCATGTCTTTGCTAAAAAAAAATTCCAATGTGTGTAAATTAATTAGTTTACATGAATGTTATAGCGTTTACAAATGGTGGTATATATACTGGAATTTGTTTTTATTTTTACTAGTAATGGCAACTTAGAGCGGGACTGTAGTGGACATTCTGACAATGGGGGGAAATGACTTGGTGTCACTGACATCCCCAGTGACACCAATACAGTGATCAGTGCTAAAAAGAAGCACTGACACTGTACTAATGGCACTGGGCAGGAAGGAGTTAGCATGAGGGGTGATCAAAGGGTTAACTGTGTGCAGGGAGTGTTTTACTAGGGGGCAGTGTCAGTGTGCTTCACTGTAATCATACTGCTCTGAATGGCTGTGTTGTGCACAGACATCCAGAGCAGTGTGCCCAAACTGACAGGGAGGAGGACTGTTAATAAACAAAAAAGTCCTCCCTATCGGAGATCTTCGGAAATCACCGGGTGCCGATGAGTAATCACAGGCCGGGACACGATGATTGACAGCGGGCACACGTCCCCTCCCTGGAAATGCAAAATCACGTATATATACGTGATTTTGCGCGCCCATACCGCCCTGTAGCAGTATTTCTGCTATAGGGCAGATGGGAAGTGGTTAAATCATGTATTACAACAATTTCAAGATTTTCTTAACCTTGAACAGATGTTTTAAATCAATGTCAATGTCTCAGTATTTATGACAGCTATTTTATCTAAGGAAATTTCCAAAACATTACCTGTTTTGGGGGTGTGCATTTACACCTACTGTGTAACAATATAATGCAATGCATAGTTTTGGTTAATATTAATATATACTGCCATCCTGTGGATATTTTGGTTATGGCACCTTCCTTTTCTGTCTTTCATCCTGATCCCTCTTCACCTGTGATGCACTTCCTTTTTCTTTCTTGTACACTGTCTTCTTGGGATGAATATGATCGTTTGTTTCTAGGTCTCATGTAATCTGCTCGCATCCAGGGACACATTACCATGTTTAGACCTGCAAATACCATCCTTTCCATCATCTGCTACATATTGTTGTCTGCTGTACCTTCTGCATTGCAATAAGGCTTCATGTTCACAAGCAGCTCCTAAACTCTAGTTTAGGAGCTTTTGGCATTTTTTTGCCAAAGCTCCTAAACTCAACTCCATAAAAGCCTATGAGTCCATGTACACATAGGCTTTTAGCAGAGTTTAGGAGCTGCCACATTTAGGTGAGGTTAAACCTCCCTGTCCTGAACGTGGAAGAATAGCATTCAGGATAGGAACAATTTGACAGCAGGAAACCGAAAAACGTAGCAAACCATGGCAAAATCGCAGTACCGCAGTTGCAGCATTTTGCATTTTCCCGCGGTCAGGGTAGGCTCGTGTACATGGAGCCTTAAGAGCCGTGGATAAGTTCTGATAAAGACTATCTGCAGTGATTGTATCTGCTTATACCTTGCTGAGACTTCTATGCATGGTCTGTATAAGTCACCAATACAACAGTTGGAGTCAGAATAGGGGGTACCACTGCTTTAGGAGATGGAGTCTATACTTTGATCTACAGCTGGCTTTTGACACCAACCATGGGTCAGAGCACAGAATGCATCTTCTAAAAGTACCAAGACCCTAAGTAATATATCCAGTCAGCAACTGGATCTCTCCTAGAATAATTTCTAGAGAACTCAAAAAGGGGAAGCCTCAGAAACCACTGAAACGTGATGTATTTATGTTCTTCTTACAAATAAAGCAAATTTGTCTCATTTGAAAGCATTTTGATGACCTTTTGTGGTGCTCCTCATCCACCAACATCCAAGCTGTCACTCTACAGGACCTGTTTCTTCAAAGGTCCCTTCTAAGAGTTAGGCAGCAAAGAATATCTCTGCAATACAATATGCTATTGTACTTCAGAACCAACATCCCATACTCCATACTGAAGTTATTGTTGTCTGTCCTCCTGTCTCCATGACAACAGCTGTCCTAAGTTCCTTTTCTGTTATCACAGGGACAGGAAATTAGGCAAAATCTCTCCAACTGGTCAAAACTGGGCAAAAGCCATCTTTTCCTCTTCTAACCCAAAAGACAAAGGTTTGGTCTGATTGAAGCTTTATTATCAATTGTCATACGAGTATTTTTTACTGTTATATATCTTATACATAATCTATTAGATCATATCTGTAGCACAACTGTGCCTATTAAATTAAGCTCTACCCACCCAAACAGTAGGACCATTCAGTCTGTGTGTCTCCAAAGACACTTTTAGATGCCATGAATTTACTTTGCAAACACTTTCTGGACCTTGGCTAATGCAGACCATACATTGGTCGAATTCCAAAAGAATTTACTTTTGAAAATCATAACTAAGAATTTTCTTCTAAATTTTGCACCAATATTGGACCGCAGCATTGGCCAATTTTCGTATGGCTATCAAATTTGAGTGATCAGGCACATTGAAAATTTTTTGAAAAAGACAAATTTCTAATCAATGATGGGAGTATCATGTGAAGAATATGATTGAAATAGAAATTAGCATGAGCTTTGACCTGGTAAGAAAAAGATTCCCAGCCATTCTTTTCTGTAGCAACATGAGATGGAATTGAAGGCTTGGTTGGTCGAATTTCAAAATCAATGGTGGCACCATCCGATTACAAAATGCATTAATTTTTTTATTTTTGTTCAAAATTTGACCCATGTATGGTCTGCATTAGGCACCAAAACCAAGTAGTGAAACTTAAGACAAAGGTCTACTCCCACATATTCTGGAGTTAGGTTTTTCGTGTTGATACATTACTTGTGTTCTAGAGTACCTGGGACAAAAGTACTGTATGGAAATGTAAATTCTTATGTTTCCTAGTATCTGAAGGTGGGCGGCATAGGAAGGCCCACAAAGAAATTTGCTCTAAGCATTTCTAAGGGGTCAAAATTGTGATCCATATATACTGTATATGTTATATTTAAATTTTTGAATTGATTTTTCAACATCTCTATTATTAATGTGGTATTGTGACGACTTTAGTAGTAATCAGACACAAGCATTCAATAAGAACATACAGGCTGTATTATTTTTCTTTATGCCATCAGTTGGTCTGTTTTTCTGTCTTTTATTCTTTGGTCTAATATGGGGGAGGTTGCTCAGGTTGATTGACGGGATTCTCGATGATCCTTGGTGTCATTGTTGAGGGAGGCATTGATACTACCAAGTCGTTCTGAATCACAAACATCTGAAATAAAAGAAGACATAAGAGCTGAGTCTTTTTTGTAGTTTCTCAGTCATACAATTAAAATAAAGTATGAGGGTTCTTCAGAATGTTTCCACACTTTTTTCAGCATATATACAGTATATATGTATAAAAATGTGGAAACTTTTTGAAGAAACCTTGTGCTGTATACATGAGAGGCAACAGAGAACCTTTTGTGTGAATCTTCTGCATAATCTGACAAATTGATAGTATAAACTATCTTTAGAAAGTACACCTAGCTCATACTGTGAAGGACCCCTTTTTGCCTACAGGACAGTATGAGTTGTTTGTAGAATGGATTTAGCAAAAGTTCTGCACAGCCAGTCATTTAGCAATTCCCACACAAGCTTTCATCCAGGGACAGAAAAGAGTCCTTGAGCATTGGTTTTGTTATTTTACTGAGGATAGGGTAAGTGGGGTATAGGATGCCCAAGGGAACCAATATCTGAGGACAACTTCCTTAACTATTCAAAAGATTCTCTCCTCTGTTGCAGTCTCTAGTGGAGTGCTAGCCAGCAGCTCCTAGTTGTACCACTCCAGATCAACTTCTCTTCACCAAGCAATGTGAGGACTTTCTTCTTGAGCAGGGAATCTGGCTCCTGTTCCTTTAAATAAGGTGACCAGTCATTAGCGGGGGGGGGGGGTAATCAGGTTTCCCACCAGAGTGCTCCCTCCCCTATCTGCCCAGGGGGTGCAGGTGTACTCACTCAAATCCTTTCCTGCACAGCTTGCGGGATGGCTGCTGCTACCAGTCCCATCAGCTGGGCTGCTCCTTCCCTGCCATACAGGTGATCCTCTCTAAGGGGGTTAGTGAATCCAAAGGTTTCCTCCTTTCCAGCTCCAGGCTCATAGGCAGGCCCCATCTCTCTAAGCCTGCTGGCAGTCTTCCTCCTCCAGCCTCACATCTTCCTTCTACTCTCTTGCTCTCCCACCACACACTCCCTTTTAAGAGAATCCCAGCCCCTTGCAAAGCTTTCTGTTGGGGATTGGCTGAGGTCTCTCAAGAGTGCAGCCAGCCACTGCTCAGATCCACCCACTTCCTCCAAGGCCCTCCTCCGAAAGCCTCAGAGCAGAGGGAAATTCCAGAGGGGTTGGCCTGCTCAGAGTCTCTCAGCCTTGTCCACAATTTTACCCCTCTGGCTATCACACCTGAGCTGCTAACCAGCTCCTGACTAACCATTGGGGTCTAGCTCCCCCTCTCCCCCTAGCTGCACTAAGAGGGTGCTACACTACCATCTGGATCCAGGTCAGGTGATGGACCATGTAACGGACCCCAGACACCCATGACTGGGTATCTCCATCAAGAAGCTGCTTCTCAGGCTCTGGAACACGAGACCAGTGAATCTGGCTATTGTTACCCCCAAGATCCAGACAACATCAGATTTGAAGTAAGCCAGAGGTAGACTAGTTTATTTTAACACAGATACAAGATATATACACTCAAGGGGACAATCCCCCCTCCCTGCACAATGACACAGGGTGGGGCAATCTACATTTAGTAACAAGAGACACACCAACAGACAGTCCCATCAGGAGGGAGGGCTGCTGGAGACACTCCCCACCAAGCCAATACACATAAACACATACATTCCATAATAGTTTGCTCCAAAGCAAGACACACAATAGAACAATGGGATGAAACCACATGGCATTAGACAATCAATAACCCCCCCCCCAATATTAGGACAGATCACCCTGTACCCCTAACAGGCACTGGTTGATTTACACATAAGAGGGATATGGGGAGCTAAGACAGGGGTCTCCCCACCTCTCCAAAGTAAGCTGTGTTCCATGGGCCCCCCACCCAATGTGACTCCCGTCACAGACCAGTTCATTCAGTGTTGGCAGATTAGCCCCAAAAATATGAAGGATTTACAGCATAAACAGACTTTAAAAAAACATCTTTCCTAATTTTCTAAACAACACAGGATACAGTGATTATAGTTTTCATGCTTTCTATCACATTTTTTATCCATAAAAAACACTTGTAAGAGTAAAAAGTTATTAGAATTACCACAAAATCTCTTAAACTTTACCAAAAATAGCAGATTATAATATGTTAGTGTGCTAAAGATAATGCAGGTGTACATTTTACTAAAACATTGATAAACAGTAACACAAATATCATGCAACACAAAAAAAAAATTGCAAGTGCGTCATTTTATTCTATGATCCAGTTTTCAGAAAATATCTCTGGGAGGTTTAACTACTTGAATACCAACCTGTAATATACTACTTTATTACCAGGCTATTTTTCAGTTTTCAGTGGTGTGATAGTTTACTGACAATCCCTCC